ACCTCCATATCCCTGGCTTCAATCTAACTGTCCTAGCTCTATCAGTCCCTCCTGCTGGGAGCTGGGTGACCTCACTCATTCATCCCTTCACAATACCAGGTATCACGTGTGTCTGGGGCTCCTGGAGATGAGTAAAGAAGGTGCTTGTGATCTGTGGGGGAGCCCTTTGTGCTCCACAGCTGGAGATAAGCCAGGTTCTGATCAGGAGCCCTGCAGTCACATCCCTGCTACTGGGGCTGTGACAATCACCTGTGGGCTGAGGACCCCCAAGTCCCTCACCATGTGGGCTGCACTCTGGAAAGGAAACCTGGGCCACCTCTGCTTCAGTCAGCCTATCCCAGACCAGCCAAATCAGAGGCCACTGGGAATCACAGCTGCTGCGTGCAGGATGGTCCACAGGAAGATGGCAGTGTTCTTATCCATAAACTGCCCTAAAGCCTTGAGGCACAGTTGGACAAGTACACACACAATGTGTTGCACGGTGCACCAGAGACATGCTTGGGTGTGATAATAAGCAGAGTAGAGGAAAACCAGTTCTCTCCAGCAAGGGGAACTGCATTCCTGTCGTAGAGGGGGACATGGTGGAAGCAACTCTTCAGGGGTTTGGACCCCAGTGTGTGCTGCACACCAGACACTGTGTTAAGTATCCTGCCAGTGTTTTACTGAGTCCCCGCAACAAGCCTGTGCCATAGGTGTTATTACTCCTGTTTTAGAGCTGAGGACCGTGCACTGACCTGGCATAGTACCACAGTGCCCATTGAGCACCAACTATGTGCTTAGTGGTGCAGACCCAAGTCTTCCTCATGGAGCTCACATTCCACAGGTGAAGTCACTTGCCCAAGGTGAGGCTGAAATGTGTCAGAACCTGGATTCAAACTCAGGTCTTGTGGCCTGCAGAGTTTATGCTTCCCCCACACCTCCCCACACCAGAACTCACTAGCCCTCAAGACACCCTCTTACAAGGAGCATAGACTGTCTGTGCTAGCCCCTGTGGGGAATTTGAGGATTCAGGAACAAGGCTGGGTCAGGGATAGGAGAGGAGCTGCTGACCCTATAGAACCTGACCACCCCAGTGTTTTCCCTAGGGAGGAAGGACCGAGCTTCCCCAGGGACATTTCAGTAGAGGAAGAGGGTAGTCTCTGTTCTGGGGTCAAAGAGTGACACCCTCTTCCTGCTGGAGTAGGGAATTCCCTTGGATTTCACTGGGTTTATGGGAGGGGCCTATTGTTTTCCTGTTAGGGCCCTCAAGGGAGGAAGATTGAAGACTAGGGCATCAGAAGATTAAATCAGCCTCTGGGGACTTGAGTGGCTCTTCGGGTTCAGGTCTTAGCTCTCGGCTCTCATGAGACTCATGGCACTGTCCTTAGGCAGTGATACTTTCTTTTAACCCAAGGAAATGATCAGAGACTTGCAACCCTCCCACCCCCCAACTCCAAAGGAAAAAAAAAATACAGGATTGTTTATTTACTCACAGTAGCAATCAATGTAAATTACCAGGATTTGAGGATTAAATAAAATATGATGAAAATCTACATATAATGGAAAACTATGCAGCCGTTAAAGGTCATTATGGAGAAAAAATAACACAGGATAAGTGCCTTATAATAGATTTAGTCAAAATTTAAGTCATAAAACATGATCCCATTTTTTAAAAAACACTTTTATGTGCATGGAAAATGGAAGGATACATAGCAAATGTTAATTGCAGTTATCTCTGGGTAGGAGAATTGTTAAGTCTTCGTCTGTGTTCAGTATTTTCCAAATTTCCTTTAGTGAAAATGCATGTCTTTTGTAATCAGGGAGAAAAAATTCCCACAGTATATATTGGAGAGAGAAGACAGAGGGAATGTTTTCCTTTGGCCCTGGGCTTGGATGGCCCCAGGCCCCAGCCAAGTTCCAGGAATGCAGATACTGTAGAAGCAACAGGGGAAGCCTGAGAGTAGCAGAGTCTGGGCAGCTTGAACAGAATTCGCTAGGCATGCTGGCCAGGTCTCATCTTAAATGTCATCTCATCTAAATGTCACACATTTAGAAAGAAGCCCCTCCCATACTTATTCTCTACCTTTAACCCCATTTTATTGTCTTCAAAGCACTTGACCTCAGCTTGCTTATCTGTTTATTAGGTGATTATCTGTCTCTGGCACCAGAAGGCAAGCTCCCTCAGAGCAGAGACCCTGTGGTCTTGCTCACTCTGACTTCCCATAAGCAGAAAGAGCCCAAGCCGGATCTTGGTTGGCCAGCACTGAGGACTTGGTCAGTAGCCTCAAGTTACAGGCATTTACTCAAAGGCTACATGTGGCAGTGAGGAAGTAGAAACAACTTCATGGGAATCTAGAAACAGGCAGAAAGCTAGTCTTTAGGATTAGGAATGGACGAAGCTCAGCACCTGGTGGACCTAGCCCAACGTTAGTAAAAACAGTTGCCACTTACAGGTGTTGTGGAAGTGCCAGTTTTGTGCATTACATTTTATAAACAAGGAAAGTGAAGGCAGAACCAATTTCTCTTAGGAGCCCCTACCCCTTTTCTCTCCACCCTCCTGCCAGCCAGCTGAGCTGCCCAGTCCACAGCTTAGCTCCTCTCTTTTGAACCTGCTCCTCTGAGGTCCTCATTCCAACCGTTCTACTGAATCTGCCCTCATCCAGATCCCCTGTGACTCCAAGATGCCAACCCCAACTGTTAATTCTCTGTCCTCTTGTTACTTGACCCATCACATCCTCCTTGCAACTCTTTCTCCTGGTCGTACTCGCTAGTCCTTTGTCTCTTCTGCTGAGCTATGGAATGGGGCTCAGCCCTTGGACAGCTTCTCTATTGCTATCCGCCCTCCTGGTGATCCTATATAATAACTTTAAAGAGCTACACCACACGCTGAGCACTCACAAATCTTCATTTCCAGCCTGGACCTCTCCCCTGAACTTCAGACCCACATATCCATCTGCCTACAAGCCTCTCTAATTGAGTGTCTATAAGACACCTCACACCTAACACGTCCAAAACTGAGTTCTTTGTCTTCCACCCTAAACTTGCTCCATCTGCAGGCTCCAACAGTTCCCAAAATGACAATTCCAACCTCTCAGTTGCGCAGGCCAAAAATCGGGGAGTTCTCATTAACTCCTTTTTTTTTACCTTTAACTTCCAATCCCTCAACAAATCCTATTGACTCT